TTGAGGCAACGTTTTCCTTGTATTCCTGGATGTCCTGGACCATGCACACACGATACAGCCTTGGCCTGAATCCCTCTTTAGCCCCAAACCCTTCATAAGTTACTGCCTCTTGCTGTCTGCATCACTCTGTTTATTCAGAAGAGCTGCAGGTCAGTCCACCCACAATTTGTCATTAGCATGGTTCCAAGCACGGAGAACAGAGAGAACTCCAAGAGAAACAGGGAGTGTTTGTGTAAGTGAGCATCCACCCACTCTGAATACAACCAAGAGGACCCCTGCTGGTGGGATGGAGCGCAGCGCCTGCTGGGAGTGCCTGCAAGCTGAATGTGGAGCAGGAGAGAAAGTTCCTTGGCAAGGTCTGCCCGATCTTTGCCCAGCCAGCCTCTTCTGACTAAGACTTTCCTGGGACAAAACTTCGGTGACATCGTGGGCCTTCTGCACAGCTTGCTGCCATCCTTCTGACGCTTCACACTTCAGTGCAATCTTGTCATCCATGTCTGTCCCGCCCACTGAGTTAAAGCCAGGCAGGCCTCTATTCATATTATAATCCCAGACACAGGATAGAGCACTGCTCAGTATTTTTGGGCCAAATGACAAATGAATCGACCAACACACAATGCCCTTGGCCCCACCCAAGAGCATATCCATCATATGCTGGCATCTTGTGTGGCATGAGATCTATTCAGTGTCAACTCTGGCTGGAGGCAGTTAGCCACTGGGGAAGCAGGCTAAACCGCACACGCGCGCACACACACACACACACACACACACACACACACACACACACAGGGATCACAGAGAGACCCAGCCCAGGGATTCCATCTGGCCATATCTGACAATGTCTTTAGGTGAGCACCATGATTCCAGGAGGAGAGAGATCAAACAGGATGGAGAAGCTGAGGAGGCCAGGTCAAGCAGGAGCAGACAGGAGGCCCGAGAATGCTTCCTGCGGATGGGCAGTTCAGACTGATTATCACAACATCCTGGGGACTTGCCACCTCTTCCTCCAGCTCCTGCGTCTTCTCAGGAGGCTGTGCCACCTCCTCCCTTCCACCAGCCCCAGTCCATGGTTGGATGCTTTATCTCCATGTGATCAACTCTCTTTGGACTTCACCTCCTTTCTGTGGTTGTCTGTTAGAAAACCCACCCTTCCATCAGGAGCATCTCTTGGTTGTACACTCCTTCCCCACACTTCTGATGGGCTGTTCTTTGAATGCCTGTTCCCCGACACAACATGCCCCTCTGGAACTGTCTTCTGGAGGCTAAATCCATCTTTCAAGACTCCAAGCACCCACAGAACCTCTTCCTCCTCAAGCCTAGGCTACATACGCTCTCTATATTTATGAATTTCCAGGGCAGGTAGAGACACTCGATGAAGCAACAGGATCTTGACTGTTTAACCCAGGCTCATGCTGATCTTTCCTCTGAATCGCCAAGAAAAGGAACTGAAGAAAAGGAACTGTGTCTTTATTCTACATAGTGGCTGCTTAATAAAGACCCCCATGGAAGGCCCACCATTCTTCTTCTTTGCAGAATGGAGCTGCTGCCATATTCCTCCACTTGGGGATTCGGTATAGCTGGAGTCCTCCTGAAACTGGAAGCCATCTGGCAAGACAGAATTGACTCGTAATGTAGGATAGGAGGCAAAGGGATCTGGAAAAAGCAGCTATGTCAGAATGAGCTTGTCACTGAGCTATCAGAATCAAGTGTCAGTGGTGATCAAGTTGAGTTCATAAGGACTAGAATACCTTGTGGTCCTGAATAGGTATGGTTGGAAATGAATGGCCTCCCAAATATGCTTACCCAACCCCAGAACCTGTGAGCATGACCCTGCCTGGCAAAAGAGATCCTGATTATTTTATTAAATTAAAGACTTTGAGATGAATCAAGTATCCTGAATTACCCAAACAGGAGAGACTGATATTATTGCAAATTTTTTTTATAAAAGAGAGGCAGGGATCCAAATGAGCAGTCAGAGCTCTGAGGAAAAGTCTGAGGTCATGCAAAGAAAGGGTCCCTAGCCAAGGAATGCGGGCATCCTCAGAGACTAGAGAGGGCCTCCAGAAGGAACAGGCCCTACCACACTTAACCAATATGGCTGATTTGGGCTTTCTCACTCCCAAACTTTAGGAGAATAGACTTGTGGGTATTCTATGCTTTTATATTTGTGATAACTTAATGTATAATTAAAACTTATTTGTGATCACTATTGAGATGGTAATTTGTGATAACTTACTAATAACAGCAAGAGACAAATCCCTATAAAAGGCTAGCGGTGGCACAGAGAAGACAGCCTCCTGTTAGAGCCACTCTGGCTTAACACCACATGGCTGTGTTCTCAGCTGCTGCATAGCAACCCAGCAACAGGAGGATCACATGGGGTCAGAAGTTGTGGGTGAGGGGACAGGAAGCCAGTGGCAAAAGTTCAGGGAGTCTCACTCTCTTTTGAATTTCTCTCTTTCTTTCCTTCAGTTCTTTTTCTTGGGCATTTACATATGTATGTGTCCATTGTGTGCACACATGTGCGTGTGTGTGCACATATATGTGTGCGAGGGCCAGAGGACAATCTCAGGTATCTTTCCTCAGGTACCACCCACCTCGCTTTTTGTCTGGGCTGGGTCTTTCATCGGTCTGGAGCTCACCCATCAGATACATTAACAGACCACAGGAATCCCAAAGATCCTCCAGTCTCTGCCTTCCCAGTGCTGGGATGACAAGTATGTGCCACCAAACTTGGCTTCTAGAGATTTTGTTCTACTTAAAAACAATTTTAACATGGGCTGTAGGGATTGAACTTGCAAGGTGAGAACTTCATCGACTAAGGTATCATTTTACACACACACACACTGTTTGACATTCCATCTTTGCAGGTTTTCATGCACCCAAACTAAGAAAGTTTTGGCCAGCTGATCCCCTTGAATAATTGGTCACCCTAGGAAGGACAAGAAGCAGTCAAAGCATCTTGGTTTTGCAAATTGGCTTTATTGTTTCCAGATTGACTTATCTCAAATTCTTATATTTCCTAGCCAAGATTCCTGAGCCATAGCCCAGAACCTGGGATTTAACACCAACTTCAAAGACAGGAAAGCTGTCCCGGAAGACAGGAGTTCAACCCCTAGAACTCTTCAGGCAGGCTGTGTCTTACTAAAGACAAACGCATCCAAAACCCCAAGCGAAGTGGACCAGCACAGCTTCGTGTCCCGCGGAGAAGAAACCCTAGAGAAGAAGAAAGTGTACTGGGCTCTGAGCATCTTCTCCATTCAAAGCACAAGATTTCCATGGTTCATCAGGGTAGCCTATAACAAACTGCTGCCTGGTGAGGCTGAGGGGAACTCCCCATCCCCACCCCCACGTGTGTCCGCAGCAGAGAAAGAAAGGCACATTCAGGGAAGACATCTGTGCTGAGAGACCACAGCAAGAAAACTGTCCATTAAACCACTCTCCAGGCATGGCTTCTCTGGTCAAACAACACACATACTGACATTGGCACTTGAAAAACACTGAAGAGGAAGACGCCAAGGGTGGGCGCGGGTTCTCCAGGGCAGCACCTGGGCTTGAAGTCCTTACAGCCGCTGCACAGTTGCTGGTTTCTCCTCCTCAGAGTTCAGAATTCTCAGCTTCAGACATCCGAGACCACAGAAATCAAGGTTTCTATTCCTACTGTTTCGTTTAGAGACGATCACACAGGCTTTTCTGCAGTTGTCATGGCCATTAAGCCTGGAGCATCCCTGGCTTGATTTAGATGATGCTTCTCTTTTTATGTCTGCTTCCCTGTGCCAGGTAGGCTCACATTCATGAGCATGCTCCCCTAAGAGTCGCTGCTATGCATACACACACACACACACACACACACACACTCACACACACAGTGATCTCAGCTCTCTCAGAAGTTAAGTAGGTATAAGCCTTGTGTGGTGTTTTGATTGAGAATGGCCTCCATAGGCTCATTTATTGAATACCTGGGCCCCAGTTGGTGGACCTGTTTGGGAAGGATTAGGAGGTGTTGTTATTCCATTGGCTCACTTTAAGAGCTAACCACGCCCATCCCAGCCACTTTTGACCCCTCCCCTCACCGCCATCTTCCTCTCTCTTTCTCTGGTGTGTGTGTGTGGATGTGTGCGTGTGCATATGTGTGTTTGTTTTGTCTCGTATGTATGTGTGTCTTTGTTTTCTCTCTGCTTTCTCTCCTTTAAGCAATAAATGTCTCCCTCTTCTTTAAATAATACTATGTCCTATGAGCCTTTTATCCGCCATAACCGCCTGCCTGACTCCCCGGCCGCATGGCACTACAGGGACTCACGGCCATCCTTGCCGGACTCCATGAGCCGCCCGGGACTTCCCATCATCATATTTATCATAAAAGAACAAAAGGTGTGGCCTTGTTGGAGGAGGTGTGTCACTGGGGGCAGCCTTGAGGTTTCAAAAGCAAAACCCAGTTAGCTTATGAGCTTGTTCTCCTGTCAGCTGCTCTCCCTCTTGCCCTTGTCCTCATTCTGCCTTATGGTGGTTTTCTCAAGATGTGAACTCTTAACTTATGCTCCAGCGCCATGCCGGCCTGCTTGTTGCCATGGCTCCCCACCATGGGGGGTTATGGCTTCACCCTCTGGAACTATAAGCTCCAAATGAATTCTTTCTTCTATAAGCTGCCTTTGTCATGGTGTCTTATCATGGAACTAAGACTCCTGGTTACTAGCTGGGTGAGAGAAAAAGTAGGAAGACCAACACATAGTGTCTTCTGTGACCTGTGACTCTTAGGCTTGACTGGGGGCAACTCTCTAGGGAAGGAAGAGTGTCTGCTGCACTGTATACAAAACAGGCATTGAAAATGGAGTTGAGAGTCAACATCAAAGGGAAAGAAAGCGTGGGCTCAGGGCCCCCAAGGTCAAGCGCTCAGCACAAAGGAGATTTATTTGCCCCACAGAGACAAAGTGCAGGGAATAAGAGACAGACAGGAGATAGAGGAAGAGGGAGAAGGGAATGAGAACAGGGGAGGTGGGGAAGGGAACAAGGGAGAGGGGGATGGGGTATTTGTACTGGGTGGGGGAGGGGAAGGACTGTCTCTGGATAAAGGAGAGACAAATGTGGCACGTGGGAAGATGGCCTTTTATAAAGGGAAAAACCCCATGTTAGGATGGGGGGGTTTGAATTTTGATTGGGGTATGTTAATTAGGTGAGCCACAGGGCTTCCGATTACTTGGCTTCAATACTTTGGTAACTGGACCTTGGTGGTCAGCCTCAGGAGGAGGAAGCGGCCAAATAAAAGAATAGACATTAGTAGCTAGATTCAGGGATACAATTGAACGGTTTTTAGCAAGGTGGAGGGAATGGGGAAGAAGGGCCTGTCCCGCCAGAGCCATGCTCAAGTGGGCTAGTGTCTCTTCTCAGACAGTGTCGGAACTACAAAAAGTCTTCCTAGTCAGAAAGAACATTATGTTCCTAGCTATCTGTAAGTGGGAGGTGCAGTGCCTGTCATGGGCTGGTTGTGTGGATACAGCTTTATCTGTGTGGGAATTGGAAAAGAGGAAGACCCGCCCACCTCCACCGCCTTGAGCCAGCTGCCTGTGTGCACGATACAACTGCTCCCTCCCCTACTGCCTGGATATCGATGTCTTTTTCAGCCTAACCTAGTGGTGCGGGAGAATTATCTGTATTTTGTCAATCATGTATTTTAATAAAACGCTGATTGGCCAGGCAGGAAGTATAGGCGGGTCAACCAGACAGGAAGTAGAGGCGGAGTAATGAGAATAGGATAAGGCTAGGGAGGAGAGAAGTTCCTCTGCCACTCCTGTCCAGACCACCAAAGAGGCAACATGTAAGCTGTCACACTGAGAAAGGTACTGAGCCCATGTGGCTAACGTAGATAAGAATAATGGGGTAACATAAGTTATAAGAGTTAACAAGAAGCCTGGCCTAATGGGCCAATCAGCTTTATAACTTATAGAGATCTCTGTGTGATTGATTTTCTCTGGGACTTGCCAGTTGTGGGGTACTGGGCGGGACAGAAACCCCAACAAGCCGGCCCTCATACTACAACCTAGCAAGCGAATTTGTGAAGGCCTTGAGAGGACCTTGAGCAGAAGGGGCTGCTTTCTTGACTGTGTCCTGCAAGAAAGGACTTCAAGAACTCAGGATGTCACCACTGGGCTTCTGAGGCACATCCCTGGAGGCTGTGGGTGGAAACTCCAGATCAGCTCCTTTCCAGTTCTGAGTACATGGAGCCATTTCCACCATCTTCTCTGTGTGACAGGCAAGGCAGGGCGTCAGGAACACTCATTCGAGGCCTCTGCTCCAGGACTCCAGCAGCATGGCTCTACTCCTCCTCTCCTGTCCACTGCTGTGTGAAGTCCAGTCTCTGAGTCCCCAGGACATGTCCCCTGGGAAGCTCAGGCTCTTTTTGGCACTAGTGGGGCAGTGTCGGAGTTTGGTTGTGTTACAACTTCATAATTTCATTTCCGACTCTACTCAACACCCCAAGCAAATCTCCTGTCAAAGACCCAAGCGAAGACTAGTCAGGTCAGGGCACGGTCCGCTCCCAGAGTCTTTCTCGAATCAGCCACTGCCCTTTGGGATTCTCTGCCTCGAAGTGAGCCTCCTCCAAAGCCCCCAGGGACTCCTGCGGAAAGAGCGCTTCGTCCCACTCTGTGTCTTCTCGGGAGAAGCCGCGGAGGATCTGTCTGGAGCTCCCCAGGCTGCAAGGGAAGGGTAAGGGAGAAAGTCAGACTCAAGCTGGCCGCTGCACAGAGGGGAGGGACACCCAAGTTAACGCCATTCCTTCTGAGACTATCCATTGTTCCGCCAGTTCTAGGCTTTAGGGAGGACCTTAAAGAGATACAGGGTGGGGTGTGGGTGGACTTCAGGGGGGCATTGACCTGGCCTTGAAGAAGGTCAAGGATGGGGAATGGATCATGGCTTCACTACGTTGAGTGCATGGTTTATTACTATGGGAGTAAAATGCTAGCAAGGAAACCCTGTATCTCAGAGAGTTGAAGGACTTGTGAAGGGGTCAACCATGGAGTCTGAACAGACTCTTGTGTCCTGTGGCACAGCCTGAGTGGTTGCCCTGCCTAAGGCAAGGGGAATAAGGGAGTTGGTCCTGGGAACTAATCTTGGGAGAGAAGGGTCTGGCAGCAGAGGGCACAGGAGCCAGTGGCATTAGGTCCTCACAGGGGCCAGGCCAGCAGGAAGTCCTGCTCTGCCCAGCAGAGGCTGGGCAGTGCCTTCCAACACAACAGTATCTCAGTGTAGGTTTACTTTCTGCTTGGCGCTCTACTCTGTAGGTAGAGAGGCCATTAAACAATACGCAGAGAGGAAGCAGGTCTGAACGGAGGACAGCAGTGAGCCAGGCTGCTGGAGAACAGACTGTGAGAAACCATCTCAGTCAAGCCCCGCCCCCCGTAAAATCCTAAAAAGCACTCCACGAGTCTGAAGCACGTGGAGATTATCTTGATTCCGCTAAGTCCAAGCACTTACTCTTTTTTGTGGGCTTTGGGCTTGAATTTCAGGGTGTTGAATGCCCCTTCCACAGCCTTGGGCAGGTAAATGGGGTGTCTCTCAAGCCTCCTCTGGGTGCCAGTGACCCTGTGTTCCGTGCTCCTTCGAAACCGGCTGTCTGCAGTGGCGGGAGCGGAGACGGCCTCGGAATGTCTGCGAGGTGCCCGCAGAATCCAGTTGGAATGCAAGCTGTGCTCCTGAGAGCTGGTTGCCACTGGAAGAGAGAAGCAAGTGAACTGGGCAGTTGGCCACTATCAGGAGAGCGGAACGTAAAAGAGGGCGTGAACAGGCGGGCAGTTCACAGCAAAGGAAGATAGGAGGCTGCATGGGCAGAGGGGGGCGGGGAGAGGCGGGAGGGGGAGGACGGAGTCTGGCTCAGCAAGCTTGAGCCTAGGGCGGAGCCCAGATCCGGACTCACTCGGGAAAGATGTCCCAAAGTACTGCTTATTGCTCAAAGAGATTCTATTTTTTGTTCAAGGTAAAATTATAAATAAAATCTGAGTGTGTTGAAAATCCTCTGTGAAAGTCATATGCCCAAGGGTTAATTAATTAACAGTGGTAGTGACCTGCAGATGGGATTTGTCTCTTAGTTTCTTCTTTCAATTAGTTTTTAGTTTTAGTGGTGTGAGTGTGAGGGTGGGTGCTCTCAGAGGCCAGAAAAGAGGGCTGAACGCCCTGAAGCTAGAATTACAGGAGCCCAGTGTGGGTGCTGGAAACAGAACTCTGGTCCTCTGTGAGAGCGATGGTACCTCGTGCCGGCTGAGCTGTGGCTCCCAGCACCTTTACATTCTTAGTGCTTCTGTGTGCCATCTGGTTCATTTGTTAGACAATGGACATCGATTATTGGTGCTCTGGGGGGAGGGGTGTCAGAGACAACCTTCAGGAGTCAGTTCTCTCTGGAGGTTGAAATCCATGTTTCAGGCTCAGGCACTTTTGCCACCGAGCCCTATTACTGGCTCTTGTATGGCTCCTTCCTCCCAATCACAGCCCTCCCTCCACATTTCCTGGGGGGCGTGGGGGATGGGGGGTGGGGAAGGTGCTTATCAGCGTCAGTGGTGAACGAAAGGTCACCACAGGTCATATGTGCCAGAACAAAAACTTGGAAGACACTGGAGGTTCCCTACTCAACACCATAGAAAGCATTGTAAACATTTATAATTCACACACACACACATATGTGTGTGTGTGTGTGTGTGTGTGTGTTTAGAGTTTATATAACTGTAAACAGCTGCTGGGATGGAGACTCTGAGCCGCCAAACTGTGGAGAGAAAGATGCGGGACTGTGATGTCCTGCAGGACGTCAGGACTCCGGAGTTGTCACCTGTGTTGGGGTGTGCTGCCTGGCGATGCAGGTGCTTTTGAGTTATCCCTGCTTTTGTAAGAAACCCCTCACCCCTACTCCTGTTCATAACCTCAATCAAAATGCACTGGTTCCCCTATCTGGACACTGGTGCCGTAGTTTCTGTGGTCTGTTGCTCGTTGTCTGTCTAGGTCCCAGCCCAGGGTAAGTAGGCATGTTTATGTTATGTCTGCCCAGGAAAAGTCACACAACACTGGCCGTTTTTCTCTCTTTCTTTTTGAGATAGAGCCTCACTGGGTAGTCCTGGTTGTTCTGGAACCCTTTACATAAACCCACAGAGATTCTTCTGCCACTGCCTCTCATGTGCAGGACTAAAGATGTTCCCCACTATGCCTGGAAAAATGACCTGTCTTATGTCTATGTTTTGTTTTGTTTTATTTTGTTTTGTTTTGAAAACAAGGCTTCATGTAGCCCCGGCTGATTTAAACTCTCTTTGCAGCCAAGAATATTCTTAGACTTCTGAGCTTCCTGCACCCTGCTCCCAGGTGCAATTACATGCGCCTTCACCATGGGTTCATGCAGTGCTGGGAATGGAACTTGGAACTTCGTGAGTGCCAGACAGACTCTCTTCCCACTGAGCTACACCCCCAGCCTTCCACACAGGGTGCTTTCTCATTACAACCATTAAGATGTCCCGTGTCCTTCAGGATTCTGCCCTCCTTGCCTCGGTGTTAGTGAGTTTCCAGTCCACTGTCATAGCGGCAGGAGCAGCACGGAAACAGGAGTGCACAAAGCTGCATGCAAGGTCGAGTGACCCACAGTGGGTGCCACCGTTGCAACCTCAGACGCCGTCGTGGAAATGCAGCGTTTGCCACAGCCAGAGCAACGGTAAACCATGAGCCTGCCATGTGGTGAGCGTTACATAATACTCAAGAATTACCTGCCATGTGGTGAGCCTTACGTAATACTCAAGAATTACCTAATTGCCAGTCACCATTGTCTTGTCGTCAAGAGTTCGAGACCCTGAATAAAATTGTTGATGAGTTCCACAGTTTGAGGGAGATGGAATCAAAGATTAAGACACTAGTAATTCTTGAAGTGGTGAGACTTCTGCTGTCTACCAGGACCCCAGTCACATTTTGGTTAGAAGTGAGCCTTACCCCACCCTTCCTCCATCTCCAGGGCTCTGTCTGGGTCTGGCTATGCACCCTGACCTCACCTTACCTCTGCTCTATCTAATGCTTCACCCTGGATAGCTTAAGAAGGTTCAGAACTGAATTTTCAAATCACTTGCCCAATTCTTTCTTTTATAAAGCGTCTGTACATCAGCTGCGTACTTCTTTAGCCCGTGTGCTTTTTGGCTTGGCTTTGTTGTTTTTGTGTGTATTTGTGAATCTGCCTTCCTCGGTTTCTCACCACCCTTTTGTTTTGTTGTTTTGTGTTTAAGGCAGGGTTTCTTACTATCCTGCTCCCTGAATCAGCTAGACAGGTTGGACAACAAGCCTCAGGGATCCCTCCAGTCTCTGCCTCCTGAGCACTGAGGTCATACGCTCACACCATCACATGTACCTAGCTGCTGGGTCCTGAACTCTGATCCTCACACTTTTGTGGCAAGCATGTTATAGATTGAGGCATATATTCAGGCCCCGCGTTACGGATTTTTGAAGCAGAGTCTTCTTATGTAGCCCAGGCTGACCTCCAGGCTGTCCTCCAAGGTCATCCTTCCAATTGCTGGGATTATAAGTGTGCACCATCCTGCCCAGCCCGTTTTAGTCATCCTGAGTACATCATTAGGTAGTACGTTCACATTCTAGAATGTTTTTCCCTCTTACAAAACCTGCCCCTGTATGGCACCATTCCCCACTGAGAGCTTCTCTCTTGAACCATCTCTCTTGCTTTTCCTCATGAAGTGTTAGGGGGGTCCCACCCTGACAGTAATAGTTAAAAAAAAAACTAAAATAGACAAACAAACAACAAAACACCACAGATGTAGGCTGAGGCGGTGGCCACAAGAGTGACTGAGACAAGTTAAAGGGATCAAGCCTAACACGACAGTGAAAGAGCCCCTTTCAGCAAGGAAGGTGTGGACCCTGATGCCCTCCCAGGGGCCCACTCAGAGCCCACCTCCCCTCAGCACACTAGGGTGCCTCTCCCAGCACTCACCATCAAAGTCCACATCTTCATTAGGCGAGTCGACCTCAGCCGTCCTCGGCCGTTTCTCTGTGTCCAGCTCTGCAATGATGGAGTCGAAGAAGGCGATGGCCTCGGCCACATCCGTGCTGAACTGGGAGTATTTCCTTGAGGCCGCTTTCTGCAACGGAAGAATGGGGCAAGGGGTGCTGAGAGAGAGAGCTGCCTGAGAGTTTTCTGAGTGCCAAAAATATGGAAAAGAATTAATATTCCTAAAACTAAATGCGTGTGGGGTTTGGTATTTGTGAGGTTCCAGAGGAAAATTTGATGGTCAAGATGTGGGTTTAACTAGGGTACTGATCACTGGACAGATGGGATCTTTTAAAAGATGGAATACTGTGTATCCACAAAGAAGAATAGAATCTGGTTGTTTGTTACAATGTAGACAGAACTGGAGGCCCTTTCTTTAAGTGAAATAAATCAAATACTGCAAGACAAACACCCCATGTAATCCTTCACATGTAGAAGTTAAAAGATTTTTTTTCTGGTAGAAGTAAAGGGTTTTAAAGCAATTGTCTCCAGAGAGGGGAGAGGAAGGGAAGAGAAGGGGAGAAGCACATAGAGGTCAAGGTGGGCTAACACAGACAGGACAGGTTCTAGAGTTCCATGGCACAGCAGAGGTTGTACTTACAACAATTTACTGTATGGTCTATAAAGAGCAAGAAGAGAGGCTTGAAGACGCGGCAGAAAGAGTAAGCGTTTAAGAAATCCTCACGGTGGAAATGCTCATCATCCACTCCTCTCTGCACACGCATATCAAAGCATTGCACTCTGCACATCAATGTGCATAACTATTGCACGTCAGTTAAAGAAATGTAAAGGCACATTTGATGGAGGGTCTTGTGGAAGGAAGATCCGCGGCCGCTGCAGAATTTCTTCTCTCAGAAGGGGACTGTGAGAGGGAGGACAACAGCATCTATTTCTAGCCTGGTCGTAGATTTATCATCAGACATGAGAGAAAATAATTTGCCCTTCTTTTGCCTTCACACCGGCTCCCAAACTGCTTTATAGGGAGGTGGCCTGGAGACCTTGGGAGACACCCACCTCATGAAGCCCGGGTACTGTGGTAGGCTCCACAGAGAACTTCAGGTGAGGTGGGCACGAGAGACACACGAACTGAGAAAAGCTCCGTGAGGCGTTCCAGAGAGACAAGCAGGACACTTGCTCACCAATGTGGGCTGTTGGATGGGACACGAAGTCCCATTCTGTGAGGCTTTGAGTGGGCATGGCATTAAACATGAACAGAATTAAGTCACGGAGCAGAATGTGGGGCGGCATCTCTAGGTGCACATTGTGGGGTACACCCTGTATGACTAGGAAGCAGTAACCACAGACTCCAATTCTTCCCTATTTTCTTTTCCTTTTTTTGAATTGCAAAGAACTTCCTTATAGGAAAGACTGTCAAAAGACCATGGCACACACCTGAATATCTTGTCTTAAAAGTGGGAGGTTATTCTCAGACATTTATCCAACCCTCTTTAAGGAGCTGCTGAAAATGAGAGCAGCGAGGGGAAGTGGGAAGCCCACTGCAAGGAGAGCTCATCCTCCCGCAGGCAGACCCTCCCGTGTTTCCGGAAGATGGAATGCAGCAAGAAGGAGGCTGGGGCAGAGACTGCAGTTCCCAGGACAGCAGGAGTAGAGAGAACAGCTGGGCACTATCTGAGCACCAGAAAGCCGAGACGCTGCAAATGTGGTGTCCTGGGTACCAAGGGCTGCGCGTGGTTTCAGGACTTCCGATGTGACTCACTTCAACCTCAGCTGCAGGCACAGCCTTGTTTGTTCCATGTTTCCTATTTGTGACTCTCTCCCATCTCTGACTTAGAACAGGGTGTGTCATGGAATGCAAGCCCCTTGACCTTGAACTCCACAGCTTCCGGAACTATAAGAATAAATCTATCTTCTTCATTAATTACTCAGCATCAGATTATCTGTTATAGCAACTGAAAATACACTAAGACCACAAGTTTTAAATTTTGGTGATTTCAAAAAATTCTTGTCTTCCCAGTCATTTGATGACAATGCTGCATTGTCTTCTGAGTTGTCTCTGAAGAGAAATCTGTAGCTTTTAATCTTTGTCCCATTGTATAAAATATGTCCTTTTCCCTCTCACCTTCCCAGCAGTTTTCTTATGAAACACCTAGGTTTTACTGTTGTGATTTATCTTCCTGATCATTATTTTAAGCCTCTGGATTCTGTGGTTTGTCATGTACAGTCCTCGTTGTAAAGCCACAGCTACTGGGCCCCCACCGCTTTCCTCCCTCCCTGCTTCTCTGATTGCATTTGAGTTGGTCCTCTACCGTCCCACACTTGCCAGAGCGCTGCTTGGCTCTTCTGTTAACTTTTGTTGTTGAGTTTGTTCTGAGCGTTTCTCATCTTCCATTCTGGCTTCACCTCTGCTGATTCCTTCCTTGTCTGTCTGCTGTCTGCTGGTGAACCCAGCATCTTAGTTAGGGTTCTGTTACTACAATAAAACACCATGGAGAGGAAAAGGTTGATGTCGTCTTACAGCTGTAGTCCATCACCCAGCAAAGTCAGGCCGGAAACCAAGGCAAGAACCAGAGGCAGAAACTGGAGCAGAGACCATGGAGGCATGCTGCTTACTGCCTGGTTCCCATGGCTTGCTCAGTCTCCTTTCATCTAGCACCCGGGACCAGCAGCCCTCAGGTGACACTAGCCACAGGGACTCAGCCCTCCCATATCAATCTTCAATCAAGAAAATGCCCACAGACTTGCCCAGGGGCTAATTAAGTGTTTCTTAACTGAGGTTCACTTTCCCCAAATAACTCTAGCTCGTGTCAAGTTGCCATAAAGAAAAAAAAAAAATAACTAGCCAGAGCAATTGATCCCTTGTGAACATGACACATAAGCTTGATTTTATTCAACTATAACCTTACCTTTCTTATTTATCCCAAGATTTTATTAAGACATTTGCATCAATGCCTCAATATAAAACATATTCCAGGTTTTGAAAGTCCCACATACTTTAAAAATTCAGATATCTTAAAACATTAGCTTCTTTAAAATACCCAAAGTCTCTCTCAAAGTTCAATTTCTCTATGGCATCCAGTCTCTCTAAAATCCCCAAAGTCTTTTTTAAATATCCAGTCTCTCTGAAATATTCAAAGTCTCTCTAAAATTCCAAAGTTTCTGTAAAATTCCAAAGTTTCTCTAAGATATCCAGGATATTGAGTTCCTGTAAAATCAAAATGCAAGTTTTTTTATTATTATTATTCCAAGAAGGAAGAACCAGAGCAGAGTCACAACATGAACAATGGAAAACTCAACTCCAAAAGGATAAATAATTCAGTGTCTGATGTCTGACGTTCAGAATGGTCTTCTGTTCTCCAGAAGATGCGGAGAGTCACGTTCTCTGGCCGCGCCCTCACAGCACACTCAGCCTGTCTCTCCAGCTCCAGCTACCTGTACTCCACAGCTGCCGCTGTTCTCAGAGGTCACCCCACAGTTCCGGCATCTCCAGATTGCTGGGGTCTCTGCAGCTGGGCCGCACCAATCGCCTCTCCTGGAATCTCTCTTCAGGAACTTTAACCCTGTCACACGGTACCAAGCCTTAACTTCCCTCCATAACCTCTTCAAACTTGGGTCTTCAGTTACAACTGAGGCTGCATCGTCCTGGTGCCAAGCTGATCCATGACCTCTTCGTGCCTTCAAACCCAGGACCATCTGAGGGATTCTTAGATACCCAGTTAAGCTGTCAGCACAAAGTACAGCCATGGCCTCCCTGTCCCACAGATTCTGTGTGCTGGCCCTGAGAAACACTTCCCTGAAGATTTTGCTTCCAAGATGCTTCCTCTTTCCAATCGCAGCTGATCCTTTTAGCTTCGGCTCACCAGAACCCCAGAAGTTTTGTTCAAACTTCGGAACCACCTGAGATTCTTTAATGGATTCTTTCAAACTTCCCTGTGGAATTTCAAAGGCCAGGCCTCCATTACCCGTATTGCTCTAAGCATTGTCCCCCAAGTTCCCACGACAGCTCATTAAGTTCAAAGTCTTTCCACAGCCCTCCTCAAAATGCGGTCCGGTCTGTCACAGCAGCAGCTACTAATTTCTGTCTTACATAGGATTTTTATTGCTGCAATAAAACACCATGACCAAAAGCAAGTTGGAGAGGAAAGGGTTGATGTCATCTCATAGCCACAGTTCATCAGCCAGCAAAGTCAGGCCAGGAACTCAGGGCAGGAACCATAGACAGGCCCTGAAGCAGGGACCGTGGAGGAGTGCCACCTTCTGTCTGGCTCCCATGATTTGCTCAGCCTGCTTTCTTATAGCACCCAGGACCACAAACCTGAGCGTGCCTCCTTCCAGTGAACTGGGACCTCCCACATCAATCATTAACAACAACAACAACAATAACAACAACAACAACAAATGCCCACAGGCTTGCCCATGGGCCCCACTGGTGGGTGACTTTTCACAGTTGAAGCTCCCATCCCAAATAACTCCAGCTTGTGTCAAGTAGACAGAAAAGGAACTAACACCTTCACCGGAGACCCTTCTTATTCCTGATGCATCTGTGAATGCTTTTCTAGTCTGGTCATTGGATTCATTCTGAAAGTTTCTGTCTTCTGACTGGAATTCTCCACCAGACATGTTTTCTACTCTTTCCACTCAGACTTTTCAGCATCAAAAAAACTGTTTAGAAACAGTTCACTCCGGCTGGTCCCAACATCCGTCACTCCGAGTCTTGTCTGTTTGGTGTCTTGTTTCTTGACACCTCTTCCGTTTGTTTCCCCTTCCTCGTGTGATGTTTTTGTTAAAATCTGCACATTTGTTGTCCATAGGCACTGTGGATACGGGTATCTGAAAGCTGTCTTTGCTTTGCTAGACCTTCAGTTTGGCTTTTTTGTCAGTCTTAGGCAGTCTGCTGATGTCAAACTCTTTTGTTGCTATGGTTACCATGTGTGGTTCATTTTTTAATCTCTCTTGAAACATCATGCTTAAAGTGGAGGCTAATTAATTTCCAAAGCGCTTCTTTCTCCTCGGTGTAGGTCCCCTCTGTGATGTGGTTGCCGGAGGCTCCTTTCCCCACTCTGTGGCTGTCTCTTGGCAGTGTAGGGACCTACTAGATGCTTGTCTGCATGGTAGTGGGAGGAAGGGAGACAGTTTGTTTTTATGATCAGTCCCAATCTTAGGTAGTACTTCTGAGAGGATGTGACCTCTCAGAAGTGGTGCACTCCTCTGCATCTGCTGTCTTGGACCCAATATCCCAGAAACTCCCCCACTCCCCTCCCCAGGAAACTTGTTTCAGGAGCTGTAGAAGAATAATCTGGCCTGAGGTTTTTACGATAACATCTGGAGGGAACCCTCAGCATCTGGTCTCTCCAAAAGGCCTGAACTGTAAGGGATACTGGCTTAGGGTCTGCCAGTCTTTGTGAGCATCCACTTATGATAACAGATAGAACTTCCTGTATTTGTGACCTTCTGGGCCTCCTCTGACTTCCCAGTTCCTGCTTTGCTATTGCCAGTTGTCAACAGGTCTAGGAGGTTTTGCAGGTACATAGTTGCCTTACTTAAGCAGGTACTGCTGTCCTGCTGAGGCAACATGATGAAGACAGGGAAAAGGGAAAGAGCCTCCTGTTGTATGGGAGGCCACTTGTTTGTTCCCGGCTGCTCATCCCCGAAATAATCACACAGAAACTATACTATTTGCAATAGTGTTTGGCCAATAGCTTAAGCGTATTTCTGTATTCCTGGCTAACTCATATCTTAAATTAACCCATCTCCATTAATCTGTGTATTGCCACAAGGTTGTGGCTTACCAGGTAAAAGTTCTGGTATCTGTCTCCAGCCGGGCTACATGGCTTCTCCTGACTCCATCTTCTTTTTCCCAGCATTTAGTATAGTTTTCCCCACCTAATTCTACTCTGCCCTATCAACAGGTCAAGGCAGTCTCTTTATTCATTAACCAATGAAAGCAACGCATATATAGAAGGACCTCCTATACCAGCCTCCTACTCCGGAGTCAGATTGAAGGCTCTCACCAGCGAAGAAACACAACTTCTATGCAATTAATTAACATTTGCTGCAAAGGCTGAAGATATACCGTTAATATTCTTTTCACATATAGATATTTTATGGTCGGATAACAATGTGTCAGGTTTAAGGCCTGAATGCCTTTCCCTAGACATGGCCTGAAATTTTTCAAAAAAGACTACTAACTTTGTTTGCAGTAAAGATGTTCTTCTTTCCTGCATCTTAGGGACCTTGCCAATTGTCGTCTTGTGCAGTGCCCCCAAGAACCACCCTATGAGCTCACTTCGACTTCTGGGCCACTCTCTGAAGGCAGTAACTTCAACTTCACACCTCTCCTCAAATTCAATACATGAGTATTGTAAGATTACTCAAAGGAGAGGTAGCTTCCTGCTACTCCTCTCTGAGAAGCTCACACCCACGGTGCTGGGTGTGTCACCAGCTGTCCTGGCTGTGTCTTCCTTTCTTTGGAGTGCTTCTCCGTTTTTCCCCCTCAAGCCTTGTGTTAAAGCTTACATGAAAATATTAATAAACTCTGCTTTATACACTAGCCAGTCCTGAAATACTTCTCTGCATCAGAGTTAAGAATCCTGCTTTGGCCTGAGGTTTTGGCCTAAATTCCTAGAGCTGTCGGGAGTGACAACTGACAACCGGGAGCTCTGCTCCTGCCTCTGCCTCCCCCAGTGAATACCAACACTTACAGCAAGCTGCATCCAATTCTCCCCTTGGATTTTAGTTTGGCCGATTTCCCAGGGACCTCAGCTATCTGGTGCTGCCAAGAAAAACCATGAACTTGCTGCATATTTGGGTTGTTGCTGTAGAAATGGGTATGAACAAGAAATGGCTTGGGTACGGCTCATTCTTCAAATTTCAGAACCTGGGAAAGGGAGGCAGAGGATCAGGAGTTTATGGCCTTCTAGGCTGTATGACACCCTACTTAAAAACATAAGATAAAATACTAAAAAATAAAGTGGAGCTATAGCTCAGTGGTAGAGCACTTGCCTAGAACAAATGAAGCACACAGTTCAATTCCCAATATCATCAAAACATAAGCTAATTAATTGATTAATTACATTAACTAAAATGAGAATCTTGTTTTTCCTAGATCTCTACATCCTGAATATCTCTCAAATTAATGTTATAATTTTCATTTTTCTTTTTTTTGTATCTATTTTACATTGAAACAAAAATAACTTCCTATATCTTACTGTACAAGATCAAGTCAAAACAAGACCAATATCAATCTTGAACGCTTTTTGAGACAGGATTTCTCTGTGTAACAGTTCTAGCTGTCCTGGAACCGGCTCTGTAGACCAGACTGGCCTCGAACTCATGGAGATCTGTCTGCGTCTGCCTCCTGAGTGTAGTTTTAAGCACTACTCTTTTGTTTAATGCTTTAAAAGTCACAACAGCACTCATGGTTTCACCAAATTTTGAACCATTGCTCAAAACAGAGGGTGTTTCCATGACAGTCTCTTCTTCTTGTGTCCTGGATGCTTTAATTAATCTTTGTCTGTCTTCCCAAGATTTCTTTTTGGACATATAAGCAAACATGTAGACCACACACAGAGTGATGAAAACCTATAATCCCAAGATTCAGACGACTAAAACAGGAGGTTGGTGAGTTAAAGACTAGCCTTGGCTACACAGTGAAATGAGTCTTATCAAGAAAAAGAAAGTGAGGACCCAGGAAACAGTTTAGCAGATAAAGGTACTTAGTGCAGAACTCTAATAACCCTGAATTCGAACCCTGGAACCCACATAATCATAGAAGGAGATAGTCTCTGACCTCCACATTTATGCCATGCCATGACCCATACATCCATCATGTTCACACACACATAATAATAAATAGATAAATTTTCTGTTTTTCTCCTTATTATGGTGTTTTGCCTGTGTATATGTCTGTGTACCACGTGTGTGCAGTGCCCTTGGAGCTGAAAAGAAAGCACTGGATATTTAACCAGAGTATTGTAGCTACAAGTGGTTGTGAGCTATTTCATGGGGGCTGGGAATCCAATCCAAGTCCTCTGGAAAAGCATCAAATGCTCTTAACCACTGAGCCATCTTCCTGGGGTCTGGGAGACAGCTCAGAGGTTTGCTGTGTGAGCGTGGAGACTTGAGTTTGGATCCACCGAACCCACATGAAGTCAGGCGAGGTGATAAACACCTGGAGAATCCCCAGGAAGGCTAGCCTGGTTTACACAGCAGTGAGCAAGAGTTCCCATCTCAGACACAGCGGAAATCAAGCACAGATTGATCAATCAACCCCAAGTTGCCCTCTGATCAACACATAGGCACACATCCATTCACACACATGGACAGGCACACATGGACACACACACACACACACACACGCACACAAGATTTTCAGAAAGAAACAGCGAGTGTATTTATGCTCATGTTTATTCAGTGAGTCATACATAATACACACCTCTGAACACTGCCATCCTCACTCTGTGCCCAGAGTTCAGCTCCCTAGTCTACAGAGAACCATCTTGTCCCTCTTAATAGCTGTATAGTTTTCCATTATAGCCATGCACCATGGCAACAAATAATCTTTGGATTATTCTTCAACTTCGACTCCAGCAATTAGTGCCACAATGAAGAGTATCACGTCTGTGTTGTTTCGAACATTACCAATAGGGGTCTAGCTTTAGGTAGAGCTGGGTGCCTGAGTACCAAGTATTAAAGCCACAGTGGTGAGTAGATGACAGCTGCGTGTTTCCTTCATGGGTCCCCTTGGAAACGCCTCTGAGTGCATGTGGGGATATTTTCACATGCAGAAGATGAGGCTTGCTTCTAATCTTTCCACCTTCCATGGTCTCCCTGACCCACACTTGTGACAGTTCCTCCTCTCACACACCCAGAGGCTGAGGGTTTCAGGATCCAGCTGACATTACAGGAGAATCTACCTTACAAAGAGGTGACCAGCAGGATGGGGTGTCCGTCACCAGCACACTGAGTGAGCTCAAGAGTCCTACAGCCAGGATCTCGGAAGTCCAGGTAGACTCCACTGTTTCCTCTGCTCCTGAACTGTTTAGAAAGGCCTGGTGTAAGCCATGTAGCCTGCTTCCTGGGGTAGGCTGATGGCCCCTTTGCCATTTGTCCTTATCCAGCTACTGGGAAGGGGTTGTCCATGCCAGAGAACAGCAGGTACTCGCTTGCGCTATGCTTATTATTGTCCAAGCTCCCCTGGCCCTGTTGCTTCATCACGCTGAAACTTGAATTGCTCTTCCTGGGAGGAATCTTTTGCACGTTTCCAAACCAAACCCCATTACAGTTCTCACTTCAGTTTCTGATTCCCTGGAGGCAAATGCCATTATTTTTCTGCATTTACTCTGTCATCCTGCCTTACTGGCACCTAGGCTGCTTCTTTTCTTCAGGGCTCTGTGAGTTATTATCTGCAGACCTGAGTCCTTCCATAGGAACTTCCCATGTAAACAGCAACCAGAGGAGGGGAAGGGAGATGCTCACTGCACCCAGTGCCAGGGAAACCTCCATGGGCCTCTAGTCCCTTTCACCCTTTCCAGCCTGTCTATCCGTGCCCTCCTACCCCACCCTCCCCCACCCCAATGGTCAGAGAGTCATTTCCTGCCTTCCCTCCTCTTTGAAGTCCTCACTGTAATGGAAAAATTAAAAATGCTGCAGGATCCCTGGCGGCAGCAGGCAGCAGAAATGCTGTTGGTCCCCAAGCAGTGGTAGCGGGCCATGTGTTGGCAGGCAGCCGGCCCTGAGAGCAGCCAGCCCCAGGCAGAGATGTCTGCCAGTCCTGCGAGTGGTGGCTGATCCCAGGCAGGGAGACACATGGCAGGCAGGCAAGAGACAGAGACATGAATAGGCATGCTATGCTGAGTGATGTTGGATATTTATTCAGGGGTTTATGGAGGGGGAAGGGAAAAGGGGAGAAGAGCAGAGAGAGAGAAAGAAGAGAGAGGGGAGAGACAGAAAGGGAGAAATGGGGAGAGGCAGGAGCTGCCTCTCCAAGAGGAAGATGGAAAAAAGAGAGACTAAGGTTTCAAGCAGGAAGGAAGACCAGCCTGCCTCTGTGGATGAGGGTGGGAGTGGCTTGTCTCTTAAAGAGACAGAACAACCATTACACTTACCCTGATTGCCACAGACAGAGCTGGGCATGCTCTTCCATGCTAGTGTTCTGCCTTGTATGCGTGGGTCCACCCGTTGGACACTGAGTCATGCCCACTGCTGCTCTACTCCTCTTTTGGCCAGGCACACAGGGTGCAGCGCACCCTCTACAAAATGGGATCTAATCAGAGGACTTTGAGATAAGCTTCAAGAGCTCCAACTAACAACATTATCCTGCCTTTTGCCATCCTTGCCCATAGGGATCAGGATGATGTCAAAAACAATATATATCTTTATTTCTTTTCTTCCTTTGTTTTAGGCCCATCTGGTCTGGAACTCACAGAGATCCGCCTGCCCCTCCTTCCTGAATACTGGGATTAAAGATGTGCACCCAAATACCCAGCTCCAGCATGCATCTGTTCTTTTAACACTACGGTATTGAAAGAGTGAGGTGCCCATAATTGAATGGGATTTTATGTTTTAAAAAGTGAGAGTTCATGAAACAAGACCTATCTATAAGCAAAACAACTCCAAGGAAGTAGTCACTGGGATTTGAATGCAGGCATGCACACAGCCGCATGCCCATTCTTCACAGAGAAGCTAGCTGATAAACTTGTCCAACCTGAAGGAAAACTCAGTGAAGGAGACAACAGAGCTGAGGAGATCATACAAAGAGATAAAAGAGAGGAAATAACCCTAGAACCACTCATTGTTGCTGCTGTCTATGACACTTAACCACTGTAAGAGGAAAGACATAAACTCTCAGTCAGCAGCAGCCAGGTCCTGTGTTTGTCTGGAACTTCCCATTTGCTGTGGAAGCCCCACCTCTCTCTCCAAACCCTGCCCTCTCAGAAAATCTACAACAACAACAACAACAACAACAAAGCCCGAAAAGTCTAGTTCCACATTCTTGGCAGCTGCAGTGGCTCCTCCCCTGAAGTTGCCAGCTGCCCAAGTCCCACCCAAAACACACCATACTTGGGCACACACCTTGTCTGTGGCAGACACGTCTTTGTCCCTCAACCATAGGCTACAGAAATACCCCAATTTTGCTGGCCATGTGATTGTGATTTTTCTCCTGCCTTCATCTCTGGGATCTGGAGGAGTCACCTGGGAGTTGCTTTGTCCAAAATAAAACTAGTCTTTTACTTTTAAAATTCAGCTTGATCCGGCTTACTGATTCGCCAAAGAAACCTTTTATTGGGGTACAGAAAACCTACTACTCAGACCCCAGGCCAGGTGGGTCTGATGCTGTTTACCTGAGGCTAATATGGATCCCACAGGAAGGAAGCTCAGTTCCCAGAATGCCCCTGTTTCATATCTGCTCAATGTCCCAGGTCATTGTTCTATCTGTGCTTCTGATTGTGATTTATGATTCTTGGAAAGAAGCTGCATCTGCAATGACTGTGTTGTGGGTTCAGAGGTTGATTACCTTATCTCAGGCTAATTTTAGTCCCCCAGATAGCCTACCTCTGTGTCAGTACTAATATTCTGTGAAAAATTCGATATCTGGACTCTTTTAATCTGGCAGACCCACCAGCTCCCATCAACCCAAAGGCTAGACGAGACCCTATAGAGAGATTCCTCCATCTTGTCTGTTTCTCTGGCATACCCACCAATGTATTTTTTTAATTGCCTTGATTTATGACTTTCCTTGTTCTGTTACTATAAAACTACACAAAACTGCTTCCAGTTATCTTTGGGAAGACCTGAATATATGTTCATGGGTCATGGGAACTTAAATACACTCCATGATAAATCACAACTTTTATTCCTTTGAGGTGAGAGCTGCTTGTTTCAGCATGACCAAAATAAATCAGGTTTCCTACTACCTCCTCCTTGGATTGTTAGTTTCTGACAGAGACTCATGTGACTCTGCTGTTAAATGAAGCCTGTTATGAAGAAAATCCATGAAGAAAGGTAAAGGGACAGATGGGGCAAGGTGTGCTGTACAGGGGAATCAACTACCATGCCCCCTAGGGGGCGCTACAACCCCAAACCGCCACTTGTTCTACTTGCTGGTAGAAAAACTTCTGAACCCAAACTTTCTGGGGGTTATAGGGAGTCTGTTTCATAGATAACGACTGATCAAATCATTGGTCACTAGTAACATGGTCAACCTTTCTTCATGCCCAGAGGGCTGCAAGTCCCAAGCTCTCACCTGGCTTTGGGCTTTGTCTGCAGCCAGCCCCTTCCTATGCTACCAAAGGATTAGTGCACAAAGGCAGCCCAGTGGAGATCCTAAGGCTTTGAGAAGATTAATGCTAGGAAACAGAGATCAAGACAAATACCCATCTCATTGCATCATGCAAATGGAGAAGACACTAAAAGTTAATGGCCACCCACAAGTCATGACTCTAGGAATCTCTGGTTTAAAAGTTCAGTACTTGGGAAACCAAAGCAGGATTGTCATGAGTTCCAGGTTAGCCTGGGCTCCAGAGTTAAGACACCTTGACTCAAAAAAAAAAAAATGTAGCATAAATAAATAAGATGCCTTAGAGACCACAGAGTAAGATATACTCATACATAATCTTTTAATAATAATAACTTAAAGTGAGTTTTTAATTTTTTTACCTTTTAATTTTTTACTTATAAAAGTTATTGAGACCCAGCTGCTTAAGTAAACTTGTTATTACACACACACACACACACACACACACACACAAGTATTGAGGCTGCCAGATTTGACAAATAAAAGTATGGAATGAGAGCTAAGCTTTGATTTCACACAATGAGTAATTTTTTTCAGTAACTACCAAGGCTGCGATGACATCCCAGCCCTCAGAATCACAGCTGTTCCTCCCAGGCAGCATAACCACTCGAGCCTAGGAGTTCAAGACCAGCCTGGGCAACACAGCAAGACTCCATTTCAAAAACTAACAAACAGAAGCAAAACATAAAGACTCATCTCTCGTTTACTGGAAATTCTAATTTATCTGGGTATCATTTGTTTCAGTTTGCAACGCCAGTGTGGAAAAATAAATGATTGACAAAATACACACCTAAACTACTATAGTAATTATTTTCAGATCATGGACTTCTAAGTTATTTTTATTTTCTTCTTCTATTTCTTGTGTCCTATAAATTTTATCTAAAGAGCAAATATATCTTTCTAAAATCATACCTTGTGAAACTGAGCAGCTGTGATGGGCTGTCCCTGAGAGCTAAGCATCACCAGGAGAAACCTTTGATGATTTGACAAAACTTAGCTGCCTGTGTGGCCTTTCTCTGCAGTCCAGCTGTGGTCCAGCCACTGTTAGAGTTTTCCACACTTCAGTGGGTTCTTGGCACCCTTGTGATAGCAGGGGACTTTCTTCAGTCAGGTGACAGGGAGAGGTGTGCATTTTACAGCTAGTTCCTTCATGCACTGTCCAAGCTGCTCAATGCTAGAAGGTCCAGGGAAGAATTAATGCTCTTTTGTCTGACAGAGATGGGTGAGCAGGAACCCTGACTTAAATAACAAGCATCCTACACACTGCGGGCCCCACAGGAGTCAACCCCCTCCCCAGATGACCCCTCCTCAGCTAGCTTGAGCTCTAGGAGTGTTTCTTCACAATGCTGAGATTGAATACAGGTCCTCATGCTTGCAGAGGCTCCTAGCCATATTTCCCCAGCCCCATAAAAAACTGATGTAAAACCATTCAAAGCAAATGGCGTCTTAAAGAGTCATTAGCTGTAATGCACATATTATCTATAGTTTGAGGACACCAAAAGGCAGTCACTT